ACACCCACACCCAAAGAGTCTTGACTAGGTCACTAAACACACAACAAGGTGCATTTTGGGTCAGACACCCACAACCAAAGTGTCTTGACTAGGTCACTAAGCACACAGCAAGGTGCATTTTGGTTCATACACCCACACCCACAGTGTCTTGACTAGGACACTAAACACACAGCAAGGTGCATTTTGGGTCAGACACCCACAACCAAAGTGTCTTGACTAGGTCACTAAGCACACAGCAAGGTGCATTTTGGTTCATACACCCACACCCACAGTGTCTTGACTAGGACACTAAGTACACAACAAGGTGCATTTTGGTTCATACACCCACACCCACAGTGTCTTGACTAGGACACTAAGCACACAGCAAGGTGCATTTTGGTTCATACACCCACACCCAAAGAGTCTTGACTAGGACACTAAGCACACAGCAAGGTGCATTTTGGTTCATACACCCACACCCACAGTGTCTTGACTAGGACAATAAGCACACAACAAGGTGAATTTTTGGTTCTCTTATAACCAAGAATTGATTCCGATTGTTTCTCTTTAATTGTTGTGAGGATTAGAGTATTTCATTACAGTCACTGTTCAAGTAAAGTTGGCAGAGAAACTCATGGACAAGAAACAACCAAATAATTCTTGGTCATGACTGCCCTGACACATCCCCAGCTACTGCTACTCAAATGTCTACCCACTCTATCTCTGTCACTAATGAGGGTTCTTGTGCCAAAAAAGACAAAAGGTGTCACTCTAGCGATTCCAACTACACCATACTCAAATCTGGGCCATATTCTGTAGCACAACATGCCATTCTAACATACCTTCAACAATAAAGTCATAGACTAATCTGGGAAGAAATCATCATTACAGTGGCATCGTACACTCATGTACATGTACCTGAACTTGCATTTAGGCAAATCAAATAGGTTAAAGTGGCAAGTAACTCTGTGTACCATCTGCAAGCAAGGTGCCATCATAGTAATGGCTACTCATTCTAATTGCCAAATCAGTCTATACAGGAGGTACATGTATATCCCAAGACCCAGACTGGCATACGTATTATGCTATGAATGTAGCCATGGTAACTATATTCCCCCCATATTCCCAGCATGCACCTGTATACTACAGCCACTTCTAATGCACTAGTCACCAGCAAGTGCCATTCCTCCATCCCAGGGCTCTGATTCACATCTCCTTCTTCATCTCCTGGAGGCAGAAATGAGGGCTTCTTGACTGGAGTGTGCGTCTTGAAGAGTTTGACACAGGTAATAGCACTGTCATGTTGCACATCCCAAGTCTGCAAGACTTCTGCATCTGAAGATGTCACAAAACAGAAACCATGATCCTGGGCATCTTCACAATAAGAACAACAGAGCTTTGAATAATCCTGGCAAACTGATCTCACCAGCGCTCCATATGTGGGTAGTTCACACACCATGAAGCATGGCTGATGAGTTTATTCATCTAACAGCACAAACAGGTGCCATGTATCATGGGGCCTGACACTTAGGGTAAGTAATTCCCAATCATAAGGTCTGGGGTTCGAATCCAGCCGCTAGTGTTTTGGTCTAAAGAAAGTCACTTTATCCCTAAATGCCCTCTCCACCCAGGCGTAGGAATGTGACTCTGTGGTTGTTTTTTGTTTTGAAAAAAGCTTGCTCAAATTGTATACCCCCACAGAGCTGAAAATGGTTTAAGAACAGTGTATGGGCAAATGGAGTAGGGAGAAGAAAGTGTAAAGTGCATTCAGAATCTGTTGATATGTTGAAATGTGATATGCAAAACATCAAGACATATTGCTTTTGATAGTGAGATACTGATTTTTAACATCTGTCATTTTCTTTGTCAATAACAAGCAGTCCACTCACAATAAACAAATCTCTCCACACACCACCCTCCATGCAGTGTGCTAGTCATCCTGTAATGTCACACCACCAATGCCACAGTCCAGGTGACAATACACTTAAACATTTCCTTCTTTGTTTTTTTCTCAAGGTTCTGCACCACAGAACTTTATGGAACATTTCAATAATTGACAGTCCTACTCATATCTCTGGATACCATATATGACATACCAGTCCAAGGTATCTATTCCTGAACCCCAAACTAAGTAACCAGAGACAGTATAAATTACAAATATTCATAAGTACCATTGGCTTTGCAATTTTCAGAGTTGTAACAAGTCAATAACAAGTTATCCGGTTTCAATTCTACAATTCTACTCAAGTTTTAACCTTTTGGCCTGGTTCTCTCATACTCAGTTACAAACTTACACTCTGCTTGGTAGGATACCAGTGACAATCTGACATAGCCATTCTGACAACCCACAGCCGTCAATCGCCTGTCGTTTGGAAGCAGCTGACAGTGTAACCACAGAGCACTGCAACAGAAAAAAAAAATAAAAGATGTGGACACGGAAGTAATGAGACATAACCATGTTTGCCTTACTGTGATTAGTGATTAAACAAATGACTGAGTCAAGCCTAAGATGATACCCAAATAAGGTATGTTGTGGCTGTGGCTTTGATTCTACCATTAATACACTGTGGTGACAGACTGTAGCCGTACAAAACCTTTCTTTAATTGGACAGGATCAAATAGAAGCCATACATTAGTGACTGCTTAGTCTTGATACAAGCCCATGATGATTTATTTTCTGACAGCTGGAGAACACTACCACTAACAAACCACGGCAAGACACCTACTGACTGATGTGATTGCAGTCAGAATACATACATAAATTGGGTCACATCCACTTACTAATGATAGCTCCTAGCTGCAAGATGAGCTATCACAAATACCACAATATGAAACCACATGACTAACTGAAACGCTGGCAATTCCACTTACATGCTGGGAAGGTCCTCAAATTCAGGGAAGAGGTCCTCTATTGGATGCTCCGAGAAACGACTTGATGATTCCTTGTCCTTTCAACAACAAGAAAATTACAAGAGCTCTTACCACTGTTACAATTTTAGGTTGAATTAAGTTAAATAGTTTGTTTGGAATTATCCATTTCAATTTATCAGGACATTTTCAACTTACAAGCTGCCGTGTGTCTTCCCACACAGAAAGCAAAAACTGTAATTGTGTAGATTTTGAAGCCTACGGTTTGCTTCTTTACCAAGAACCTTAGGCATTAGGGAGTGTCTTATATTTCAGAACAGTTGCAATGTTCTCTTCAAATGCCTTGTTCTTATTCCAGAATGGGAGGCTATGGTACTGGGAACATGGCATCCTCATCAGAAAGCTACCTAGGGACGGTGTATACATGAAGAAGACTATTTCCTCAATGATGGAACATTCTGATTGAATGCTATTGGTCCACTGGAAACAGTCAAACAGAACATGGCGCCTGACTTTTGTGACAAAATGGCACAGAACACGGTGAAATGCAACAGGAAGTCACTGTCACGTTTGTAGTGTTTCCCTGATGGTTTCACATATCTGCAACAACTCAGCACTCCACAACCTGTTCCTCATGTGTTTCAGCTTTATGTATAACTGAACTGAGACCAGAAAGTGATTTCTTTTGGAAATAATAAACTATGTCAATTTTAATATCAAACCTGACAGATAAATATTGCGCCATTCATTCCATAGGGAAATCAAACATTCAAAAGAACATAAAATGCTCTACTTTATCATTCAAACTACCTCTATGGCCTGTATGCCTATTCACAAGTATAAAATGTTTTGGCCATTAAAACATTTGCAAAAAATTATAAAATGGGAAACAGTGCTAAGAATGGTTAGCCACCTGTTGATGAACAGTTATTTTCAGGCCTTGCTCTCTTACACAAATCAGGGACACTGCCATCCAAGGACTGGGCTTTGATGTAAAGGATAATGCTGTGGAACTGGTTGAGAGACAGGTTCTAAAGCATACTGTACAGAAGCAGTATGAGCTATGAGGCAATATAGCTTGATGCCATCCATTGATTGCATTGATTTATGCATAATGATGTGTCAGTCCCAAAATAATCATTCCCAACCTGTTTCCTAAATAAGACCTGGTCGTGTCGTGGTGGAAAAGGTTTTATCTAACTGGACTTTTGAAGTTTTTGAGGTTTTCCATTTTTGTGGTTTTAAAATAATTGGGCTTTTTGTTTTTAGTTTTTATTTTGTGGGTGTTGATGGATGAGGAACAGCGTCTACTTCTTTCATTTTCTGAAGAAGTTTCAAATGACATGGATCCGTATGTCAGTTACAGAGAAATGTATTGCTTTCATTTGTTTGCACTGTTGCAGAATATAACCACTGCCTGACGTTTGGCCTTTCAAGGACACTTGGCTTTGCCTCGTAAAATAGAATAGTCAAGATTTCACCTCATGTTTTTTTGTTTCCACTTTAAACATTTATTATTTTGGCATGCAACAGTAACCTCACATGCTTTCAATGTCTTCTGTATAGTAATAAATTTTACTGCGCAATAAATTAATATATTATAAAGAAATGAATATTGTTACCTTTGCATTATTGTCTCAATTGAAATAAAGTATTTGTGTACTTTTTGTTTCTAACTGCCTTAATCTTAAACAGACCATGCTTTTCAGCAAGGGCCTTGACAATGTGTTGACCACCACAACAATGGCCTGGTAACTTCATTCCTTAAAGCTCGCACTGGTATGTGTAGGCTACCTTTGAGACCACATCAATCAGAAAGACTGAAAAGCTGGCAGCAAGGGGTTACAAATACGAGATGAATCACGATCCTTGTGGTAGCTGCAGTGTATATTGACAGGCTATAAAAGCTCAATTTCTATTATTAGGAAACTTGGATAGTTATACAGCATTTAAGGGCAAACAAAATGGTTTATTTTAGATTCAGAGAGGTTTTCTTTCTTTGCAATGCATCGAGACTGCAGTGGAAAATGGGAATCACAATCACAACTGGTACCGGTTTTAACTGATAAAAGGCTAAATACACAATATGAAGCTAAAACAAGGCTCCTGTAAGTCCATACTGAAAACTGCTCACAAATATTTTATTGATGTGTCCAAAAGACCATGATAAGGACTTTCTTTCATCAAAGTTTCATTGCTCAAAAACGTGCACTAATGATCCCATAGCTACTCAAAGATAGGTATAACTATGAAGCAAATCTAGGGGTACCCTTCAGTGAAGGCTTACCTCTGCCTCTTAAATACATTTTCCCCTCAATTTGGATATCAGGTTTAGGGCAGGACACAACCTCTAAGCCCTGCAAATTTAAATGTGCTGCTGCTTTCCATTGTTAAACAGCAAGCGTTTAAACTTGTGTAGCCCAAAATCATCAAAATCACACATACTTTACTTAAAAAGTACATAATTGGGTCATTTGTCCTGAAGATGAGGTCGGATTGACCTAATATTTCGCACCACCTCAAGGCTACCTGTGATCCCCATACACATCAAATTTCAGCCAAATCCGTTGACCCCACCTTATTACATTCTGCATGGTCCTCTCTTGAAGAAATGTAGACAATGGGGTTTTGAGATTCGACCTTGACAGAGGTGAATTTTTTGGAGATTGATCAATGCTTTCCTTGCAAATAACTACAAACAGCTTAAAAATTAATGGGTACATTTTTACTAATTGGTTAACACCTACCTCCTTGTATAAATGAATCTTGCTATCGCCTCCTGTCAGAAGGAAGACAGTATCTCGTTGTCCATCTTGGATTATGCTTAAAGGAAAAATAACTTTACCGATTTAATTTTTTTCTTCATGAATTGCCTCTTGCAGAATTTGAGGATATTTGACCTCAAAGGCTAACTACACTAAATGTTTACAAAGTCCAAAACAGTGGGGAAAAGGTTGAAGATATGGAGACAAGGCAAAGTCATCACAAACACTTTCAAGTTTCAGTCTTCCTCTGAAAACCATACAAACAGTACATCACAATCAGCAAGAAATTCTACAAAGGATACTTCAGAGGAACAATGCATACATATTATGGAAACACCTATTTACATATGTACATGTACATACACATGATTTTTACAATTTGGTAAAGGCTAGTGGTGATATGTTGAAGAAAAATCAAAAGTCGGCTTGCTTGAGGAAACTTACTCTGTGTGGCACAAATAATAAGGAATGAAGTCCAAGAGATGCTCTATGTTGTTCCATAACTCTGCAAAATTTTTACAAGGAAACAAAATATCAATACATAACAGAGATTTCAGTTGCATACATGTGTCATCTTTGGTACATTTAGACACTACATTGGGTGATGGCTCCAAATAAACAGCATAGAAAGAGACCAGTGGATGCATTCTGTTGAAATCATACAGCGTACAGGATTTGGACCAAATTTTCTTGGTTTCTTCCACTTCTGAAAAATCTCAAAAATCCACAATGGTCCAGGAAAAAAGCCAGTTTTTGAAACCTTAAAGAGCACCTCTAAGAAAACAAGTTCCTCTGATTTTATCTAATCAAATAAAAATGGAAGCATTCAAATCAAATGATTTGATAGTACTGGATAAGCCCTTGTGCATGCCAAACAATGGCTACATGCATTGTTTGCAATGCACAAGGGTTTATCCACTATGAACACAGGGAAAGGGTTCTACTTGTTTTCTCTGTTTTTTCCAAATGATGCAAGCTACATTCAGAATTCGCAACTTGGCATGAACAGAAAAAAGCCAGTTTTAGCTTGTTATAGTTGAGCACTGAAGACAAATGACATACACTGCATTCGATTTGGATGCTTCTATATTTATTTGAACAGATAAAATCAGAGAAAACATGTTTTCCTTAGAGGTGCTCTTTCATTTTCCAGGAGTATCAAGTCACATGTAAACTAAGTTGTGCCTGGGATCTACTTTTCGAAAACCCTTACCAGACCTCCTAACTGATTTTGTAGGATCTGGGAGGGTTCAAATTAATTGTGGGATACATGTAGCTGCTTTGCTTACGTGAGTCTCTGTCCAAGTTAAAATCTGCATCTTTTTCCCATGGATAATAGATGTTGAAATAATGACTGGGGCTGTCACTACCGTCATCCTGAGACAAGAAAACAAAATAAGGAACATTTTGCCTTTTTTTAAAAGCCAAAATAATACTGTATTGCCCACAAGTGATTAATGGTCTGTCCTTGCCCTGAGTTAAAACTGGCCAACCCATGACAAATGTAAAGCTGAATTAGAACTTTTCAGCCATAAAAATCAAAACAATTGAATGAACTATTCAATTCAAATAAAAGATATACTGTTGGATCTGACCTTGGTGAATGTGATGCCAACAACTAGACCAGTTGATTCAGGTTGTTTGGTGAAAGCGCTGATTGATTCTAACTCTGCATCATCTACAAAAAATGTAAGACATTATATCAAATCCAGTCACAAGCTACATATAGCTAACTGATTACTCATTTTTAACGTGTTTGGTTCTTTGATGTGCATTTTTTCAATGATCTGCAGAGAAGTAAATATTTCTTGATGAATATACATGTATGTAAGCTAACCTTGTCCTCTTTCCAGGAAAATCATACCAATTTCAACTAAATAATAAATTCTGCTATATAATGTCAAAATATTTTGACATTCTTACTGAAAAGTAGTTAAAAGAAAGGGTTAGAAATCTACGTGTATCCTTACAGTAGGCATCTTGGCTTAGTCAAGTAAGATTAACTTCTGAAAATGGTTGAGCCCATATAGTGAGGTCAGCCATGATTTCTTAATGCATGCCCAGTGTGTGCACACAAAATAGTAACACTGTTGAGCACAATGTTTGAAAGTTTGCGAAGTCACAAGTCGCACGTGCAATTTTTAATTTTTAGACATTGCGCACAGCGTTAAAAAGAATATTGCCTTGTGACAGCAATTAAATTCCCCTGTCGACATTTAATTTGGACTTTGCTCTCCTCTAAAAAAAATTCCTTGTGGGAGCTATTAAATTCCCCTGTTGAAATTTAATTTGGAACAACTCCGTACATGTATTAATTAGAAAAATATTGGCAATAAAAGTAGGATCTCAGACAAAATAAGTAACAATCAGGGAAAATAACTATTTTGAAAAGACCCCTAAAACTACTAGTTTGTATTAGAATTCCAGCCTTCGCTCAAGACAAGAGTTTCCCAGCTTGACTAGTGCCCTATGCAATGTAGGCCTAATTGTTATCGCATCAAAATGAATGAGGTTAGTATGGTTAGTAAAACTAGCTCCAATTTCTTAGAAAATTGTTGGTCTGATGGTCCAAAAACTAGGTTTTCCAAATTTTAAAGAATCTGGATCAGCTTCAGCTTCTTTTCCATGTTTTCCCAGCAAAAATTGTTTGACTTTGTCTCAGTTTGAGAAAGTCATGAAAACGGAACTGTAGAGAAAAGTACATGTACTTCATAAGGGTTCATCTTGTCTCCTTAAAAAGCTTGGGTCAAAATCCCACAGTGTTATGACCTCCTAATGAGTGAGAATGCTAGAAGCACAGAGCAATAAAATATGCCAGGTGGCAGAAAGCACACGGGTTGCCTTCCATTTTGTGTACAAGCGCTAGGCTAGTAGTGATAGGCCTACATGTACTACTACTAGTACATAGTACTAGTCAGTTAATACAGGCTACTACAGTAACATATACATGATGTACATACCTGGGTTATTGTAAATGAACTGCACTTCCCGGGCAACTGGCTTCAAATTCCCCTTGTTCTTGACGTATTCCAGGCACAAAACATTATCTTTGAGAGGTGCAACAAGTACTTTACTACCTCCGTCAGGAAGACGGAAAGAAGTCAGTCCATAAACATTACTCTGGTTGGATAAACATGCAAAGTGAGCCTCCCAGAAACAACATGACAGCGACATTTTGAATGTTGCATGCTGGGAAGGTAGGCGTTAACCATTTTGTTTTAGGGGAGGTACAAATATTCGCACTTATTCCTAACTATATGTACTTTTACTTGTCAAATAAATTTAGTCAAAGTTTTTCTCCAATTATCAAGAGATTTTTTATTTCATTTTCAAATAAGTGCATCTTTAAATGCAGATAGATGAACCAAAATAAACACTATAGTGAAATGTCATCCTTTGAAGAAATGGAGCTTAAATTATCTATTTTTAGAACTGTATTGCCCGCCGTTTTATAGCCGTTTTCTAATAGTCAATTCGTCTCCATTCAGGCTTCGTGTAGGAAACCAATCCCCGATTGTGAGCCTGAAGCGTTCAAGTCAAATTGAAGTACCGTAATATTTGGCTCTTTTGCATCTTACTTTATGTTTTTGGCACTATCGGACTTACTATTGCGTTTATCACCTCAAAATCAGGAAGTAAAAAAACAATAGTTGAAGCCTCGTACGGAGCCCAAGTCGAGTATTGGAAAACGGCCCATGTGTGGTTTTAAAGATGGCGTCCGCCACATCCAGCATGTCCAGCACGGGTACGTGTAGTTCAGAAAAGACAGAAACTGCGAGGGACTCCGAATCGAAAATGGTCACAGAAACGACAGATGGTTTTCAGAGTGTTAGGTCAAAGAAGGGAAGAAAGAGAAAACTGGAAAGTGACAAGATGGAGACAGACACAAGCTCCAAGAGACCGAATTTTCCCCCATTGAGTGGGGAGAAACTGTTGGTAGGTCACTCGGACCTCCGTTTAAAATTTTAATAGCTCCATGGTAGGCCTAAATATTTTTGGCAACAATTTTAGCAAACTGCATGTACTGGGTTTGTTGCACGCTTCACTGGTGCAAGGAACCCTGTAATTCTAGAGGTAGGGTCATGCTATTTAGCATCAACAAGCGTCGACAAAACGTCAACATGGTCAACAACTTGAACAAAATATAACTGTAGTTGGGACAGACCCATCGGGTCATAATAATCAGCATCAACCCACCGTCAACATGCGTCAACACATTGATAGTAACGTCAACACACCGTCAACACTTACAAAATGCACTGAAAACAGAAAACAGACGTATCAAACTATAATGTATACGCTTAAGTTAGGAATAATTTCTATTTAATCGAGTTTACATTTTACTACATTTCAAGGGAGTTTTTTCATTCGAAAAAATTGTCTCTGAGCAGCGCCGGCATTCACCGCCATCTTGCCTTCTCATGGCGTGTGGACAGTACCATGGTTTACTGTATAAAGGTGACCCCTTATGGCGTCATGGTATGGTCCGTCTGACCAAGAGGCAACATGGCTACCATCTTTCGTGGCTGTGCAGAGGGTGTTGTTTTCGTGAAATAAAATGGCTTTTTCCTCCCAAATGTCGCTCACTGTTGTTAGCCAAATTGTATTTTAGGCATTATATTGCTATCGAATTGCGTTTGTGTTAACTTAGAACGTGATTTGGGTGTGTTGACATTACTATCATGTGTTGACGTTGTGTTGACGTTAATTAGTACGACCCAACTGTAGTGCACGTATGTTCGGTCCCCATAAACTGTGTGTGCATTTAGTTTCTGTATTTGCACATGCGCAATAGTAATATACATATACATGTATGGTCATCGGCCTGAAAACCGATAGCAGACGACGCATATCGATGACGGATTTGTCCTGCCATTTCCCTTGAAGACCTTGTGTGTGAATAAATTGCCAAGAATCTATCAAATGGTGATATTGAATAGCTTCAGATAAGACAGATCTCCGGAAACTAATCAAAGAAGTCGAAAATGTCAAGTTTTTCACACTTTTGTCGAATTCCCCTCAGGTCATCGTTGATACTGTCTGGAAGACTGATGAATTGTCATTTCTTTAAGATCGAGAGCCATTTGTCTGAAATGCGGTTCTTTTTTCATGTGGATTCAAATTCCCGCACTGAGTCCACTGTGACCAACAGTGGTCTAAAATAAGATGCGTTTTAGTATTAGTTGACTTTTACAGCATTGCACTAATACGTACAACGACGTCAAATTGCCGGACTAAATGGCACAAACAAAAACTTTCCATTCTCATCCATACAGTTTCCTTCTTGTATGATACTTTCTCATTAGAGTGTTCATGATATTTTCTTAATTACCATTCACAAGTAGAGAAATGTCAGGGAAAACCTGGCAAAACTGAAAAAATCCCTCTGAAATGTTGGCTTCACTTCCAACTTCTTACCCTTACATGTACTTGGGAGGTACGTAAGAAAGACGGGCAAAGATTTGGCAGAAAATGAATTTTTATTGTATGCAAGTTAGCAAAAGGGACTTTGAGTGTTTAAATGCTACTTGGTATGGAAATGAGGGGCAAACAACCTTTTCTGAGCTGGATGTTGAAAAATTACTTTGGGGTCTACCTGTCCGAGTCGAGCTATTTTACTGTCTTCTGGCTGTAGTTGGATTCAGTACGCACGCGCACAAACTGAGGGGCGTGAACATATGTGAGTGCTGCAGTTGGGCCGGCCCAATTATTGTTGACTGATTCAACCTTATCCAAGTTTATGCATCTCACACTTGACATAATTCATCTAAAATACAGCACTTCATCTAATCATCAACAATGTGAATTTCACACATGCTGGCACATGCACACTGGACCTCTGTGCTATACTTGGGCCGGGACCAACTATAGTTGGGACTGATGCTACAGTTGGGTGGTAACAGACCCACGGTGGATTTATATATTTTTTGACCTTCCACTGATGAGTTGTGTATGATTGAAGTTGATGCTTCGTTCTCTAAAATGACTTTATCTACATAGCCACATGCTGTGACATTGCAGGGCCCTTGCCTGGGACCTTGGCAACTTCCAATGCATAGCAAACAGACTTTGTCATTCGATCGACCGCGTAACCATGAAATTTTAGGGCGGTATTTTTGTATGGTGGGGTATTCTGCAATTACTCCAATATGTCTTTGGATGTTGTGTTTGTCAGGTGTTCAAAGAATATCCCAGTCTTCGCAATCAAACTTTTCATGGGCAAACTTTACACACACCTGCACAAGCATGACATGCATAGTTAAAGCTAGTCTAGGACTCTGTGAATCGTCTTCATTAGCATTTGGACATGGTATGAGCTATTTTGAGTGAATCAATTAATGGTACACAAGGCCTCTGCTGCATCACTGACAGTGTCCAAATGTTAAATGTTGCAGTATGAGTTCTATATACAGATTAAACACTAATTTTCCCTTAAAATGTTTTAACACCCAGCAGAAAGTGATAACATGTCCTAAAAAGTGAAAATTATCCAAGAAAATTCCGAAGTGTATTACTTAGAAAACACTTTGTTTTTTAAAGTCAAGTTTCATAGGTTTGTGCACAGGGGCATCAAGTGTTGTCTGTATATGGAACTCTTTCCAAAGTTGTGATTTGTAAAGTCCTGGTTACTTGAACTAGTGCAAGTCTGGTTCCCAGACCAAAAGGTACATGTACCGACCATTATTTTGACTTGTTTGTACGGCAGGAAACCATCCTAAAGTTATAGGCCTTAAATCTTCTACTTCATGTTTTATTTTCATTGAAGCCAAGTCTATCCAGCTTTGGACAAACTGAAATTATCTGAGAAAAAGTTGTTTTGGGGTAAATCTTTTTAACTTGATGGTAATTTCAAAACTCAAAAATCGTGGTGATTTGATAAGGAACTGTTTCCCAGAATTTGATTTTGAAATAAAAGAAATACCAATAGGGCATCTCTTTTCCATTGTAATTTCACATAAAATTTGAAATAAAAAAATAAAAAGTATGTTAATGGACTGTAAACTTCATGTTTAGTCACAACAGCATTGGCTTGATGGGTTTTGCTTGTGTTGATAACCAGGAAGGAAGCGAAGAGATGAGAAAGATTCCAGTCCCTGCTCACAGATATACACCGCTCAAAGAAAACTGGCTGAAAATCTACTCACCTATTGTTGAACACCTTAAGCTACAAATAAGATTCAACCTTAGAACTAGGCATGTAGAAATCAAGGTAAGTGAAACAAGTGTGACTGATAAAATTTAACCTTAGAACA